CTGAACGGTCTCGGTTGTGATTGTAGTATCAATGAAATGGGGTAGAGAAGGGAGTAACTTGATGTCTTGTGACCAGCACAAGAGAAAACACTGGAAAGAAGAGAGGGCGTCTGAACGGTCTCGGTTGGGATTGTAGTATCAATGAAATGGGATACTAAGGGAAGCGAGTAAGATGCCTTGTACAAGAGAAAAACGGTGGGAAGGGTGTGAGACTGGCTAGAAAGCAGGACTTGGGCCAGGCGTTCCCTTTATACCGTTAAGTTGCCAAATCGGACAACAAAGTGCATTATGCGTCTGTGCTTCTTCCAGGGTTCACGGCGTTAGTATAGCTTAGAAGCTGTGCTGAAACCCCCAAAGGGGAAAACTGGTCGCCTAGGGTCCCGGCCTCACTGCGTATTCGCGTGTCGTCATTGTGGCAGTATCATAATTAAATAGTTCAGGGGTCCCACTAGTATTGGATTGTTATAGTATGTACGTATCATCACATGCTCCACATTGACATGGAGAATATTCTCTTGGAAGATCCGGACTGTCAACTGCTCGCCGGACGGGCACACAGAGCCAGAAACGGAAAGGCATCGCCTGCACCATGACGTAGGTTTACGAGAATGAAACATCAGAGTATGAACACGGAAGTTCTTGTTTGCAATTTCCGCGTTTTGGCCCAGGGTCAAGACAGGTGAAGAAGCACCTTTTTGCGTCTGGTAAGCCAAACACAGGTTTCAAATCGTGTTTCTCGGCTTGAAAAGTCACGAAAGGTTGGTTCAAACTTCCTTTCCTATGTAACAGGGAGGCGCAAAACGCGGTGATTAGGAGAGCGACCCAAAAACTAGATTGTTAGAATCTAATATACTGAAAGCGATCCGAAGAAGGATCGAGCCAATGCCATGGAGCCCAGGGGTTTGCCCTGTTCAGAGCCCCAGCGGATACTCCTTGATTGTAGCGTCCACTAGAAACAGATGTATCTCAGAAGGGCACCTCACATAGCAACAGCCGTCCGCCGTACTCACATCAAAGTGAAGAAGGCTTGTACGTGCATCGTGTCGAATTCGTTGCAGAAACAAATGAAGCATTGACAGCGCCGCTATATCAGGGAGAGGGGAAGGATGAGAGGCCGCAAACGTCATCACATCCTCAATGCGTTTGGTGAACGTGAGGGACGTCTTCCCACACAGCTTCACCTTGCCAAACAACACATTGGCAATTGCGTTTCCAGTCTTGTGCGACCCGCGACAGAAAGGCCGAAGCGGAATGTCGTTTTCCGTTCCTGTGCCGTAGGACAAGGTACCACGTGTGCAAGAGGGCGTAGGTCTTGTCCACCCAGGCCATAGTAAATGCGGATCCCTGATAACATTGTCAGCTACACCGCATGTAAGCTGGGTGGTCCTACCGCTTGTATGAGAACGACAGTCTTTTGGGTTTGCCTGCAGCACAGCTGCGACGAGCTCATCGGTCCGTCTTGGCAGCTTCAGATCCATCCGATCATAACCTTCACTCTCCTAATCCCCGTTCAGGCTGACAACCACACCCACGTCGGCAACCTTGGCAATGTCCACAGCTTGCTTAATCCCCTCTTCCTCATTGAAAAGGGGGAAGCCGCCCAGCCGAACTGTCACCCGCCTGTTTCATCCTCCAGCGCGCTCTCCAAGGGGCGTGGGATTCAGGTTACTAAACTCGACGCGTGTGTCGTGCGCCACACCAGGCTGCAGCACATATATATAGTATCCCATTATCTCGCTTGTGCTGTCCCAGGCCCCCAGCTCCACAGATCGATCAGCAGTGTGTCGTCGAGGAACAGCCTTGCCCGACCCGAAACACTTGGGCCCAATCGGAATTCCGTCTTCTCTTGCACCGGTCGAATCCTCCCTTCCAGTACCATGTACCATTCCTCTTTGGCGAAGAAGATATCGCTGTCATGCATCTTCGAGTTCATATTGTCCAGAAGGAAAGAGTCAGTCGGTTCAGAGTACTGGCCATTGTCGGTCTGTTTGAGATAGAAGGTGCCTTTCATTCCAGGTGTGCCTTTGGGAGTCGTCAGCTCATGATCAGTCAAGATCGGGGCGCGCTTGTGTCCTGTGCAGAGTTGAGCTTACTCACAAGCACGAATATAGAAAACACACCTTGACACCCTTCCGCATATACAACATTGACATTCTTTGGCAATGCAGCGACAATGCCGTCAGTGGGAGTAACGACATACGACGCGTTCAGTGAGGCAGATCCACCGCATGCACAGTACATCTGCTTCGCGCTCGGACCGATGATGGCAAGAGTCTTGATGTTCTCCGCCTTCAGGGGAAGGATAGCCCCGTTATTCTTGAGGAGAACGATCGCGTTGCTTGCCACTTTGCGCAGCAGTGCCGCGTCTGCGCGCGTGTCATAGGTGCGCTCTTTTTGGTCCCCGTCTAAAATCTGCAGATAATTAGCAAGTTGATCTTGTGTAAGCGAATCAGGCGCACCTCAGGTGCGGAAGTTGCCACCTTCTTTACAAACTCCGCCACTCTCTGAGCGAGCTTTCATCACGTCGAGGGTTAACTTCTTGGACTCGAGGCTGCGAATAACATTCGAGGTCTGATGCTAGCCATCGGTACCCGGCATCTCAAGATCCAGACCAGCATGATATGCTTCGGGCACGGTGTAGGTACCACGCCTGCAAGGGTGCTAGCGTAGGGTCAAACCTACTATCAGACGGTGCTACCAATCTGACATGCCAAGACCGTCAAAACCCCATTCTTGCGTAGGAGGTCGGTCAACAGCCAGGGATGTTCGGAGCACTGTATGCCGTTGATTCGGTTATACCTGCACAATGGAGATCAGACTTCTTTCAACTATCGGCGGGGATATGACCGACGCTGTCATATACGACCATGGCTTGGAGTTCTTTTGAGCGAGTATAAATGGGTACAGGTAGCTCTCCTGCAGTGGCCGGTCAGAATTCAGCGAATCCGACCCACGGCGTTCCTGCTCCTGCTCATTGCCTCTGGTTCAAAAGTCAGTATCAAGTCAAGGATGACCAACGCAGTACGCTCACACGAGATGCTTGATACATGCAGAGATGCCCTCTCTCTGCAATCTGGATATTTAGGAGGCCATCATGCCGTTCAGATGAGGGTCTTCGGAGAAGCTCTCGAAGCTCCATCCGCCAAGCGGGTTCTACAGACGTTCATCAGCCTAAGAAGGGTGCGAGATAGATCTCGGTTGACGCGTTGTATATTGCAAGTCGGTCCGAGCAGCATGCTAGCCGCTTTGAGCTTGCATTCCGGAGCGAGGATCTTGGCTGCAACCTCGCCGACAAGGTCGAGGTCCCATGTCGCGGCCATCGCTGTACCGCACTGTGTACGTGATCTGAGTGCGCATACATGTGTAGGGAAGAAGGTAAAGCTCACAGGAATGCACTTTGCTGGAGTGGTCATGAAGTACTTCCTCCCGCGCGCACCGTTTGGACCATCGGAGACCTTAACCAGGACAGATCAGCCAATGTCGATTGGAGAATAAAGAGTATGCACGTTGATGGCGGGAATACCAGGCCTGTGCACGGCTGCTGTGAGCCAGTTCCCTGCATCAAGCGTGAGAGAGATTGCCTCTTCTGTGGAGAGAGCGTCCACAAGCTCGTATGATGTCAGAGGGCGACGGTTGCCAGCTGGTGTATCAACTCTTTATATTGGATTCCGTCTCCATTCGTGTATGGACGTGACCAATAGCAGACAGATTACTTAGATTAGTAACTGCGGAGATGCCAAAGCATGGTTGGTGCAGGGAGCTCATGATCATAAACGACGACGGCAGAGGGCACACTAAGGCGGTCACGTGTACGCGGCTGGAGTACGTGTTGCAGCCATCACCGTGTGTATGTTATTATGTATTCAATGCGGCCACGTTCTGATCTTTGTTCATAGAAGTCATCACAGGCGACTCATGTAGTCAGGTATTGGGTATGAATACTTGAAGAGGAGGACGAGAATGTGATGGTAGAGTGGTGGAGAAGAGATCAGTGACAGAGGTGGAGTTGTCAGGACTCAGTGGGAGGAACATTATCCGCAGTTTACCCATCGGTACGAACTCCGGTCAACATTGCATTAAATGACAGCGAGATGATCAACTCAACTTCCTCGAGATTAGACCACCACATACGCCATGGCTCCATCCGACTTTGCCAATGCAGACATTACTTCCCTGGTCAACCAGCTCAATACCGAGGAAGCCATTGCACTCACTACAGGCGTCGGCAACTGGTTCACTGCACCGATTCCTCGTCTCGATATACCCGGCATTAATGTTACTGACGGCCCAAACGGTGCGAGGGGGAGGAAGTACTTCCTTGGCACACCAGCCAAGTGTTTGCCGGTGCGCTCTCATACACACCCCTGCGTCGACCATACTAACTATGTCCTTTCTTCTTCAAAAGTGTGCAACCGCCTTGGCCGCAACATGGGACCCAGAACTGATCGGTGATGTCGCCGCCCTCATCCTCGCCCCCGAATGCAAGCTCAAGTCCGCATCTGTCCTCCTCGGTCCCACCGTCAACATCCAGCGTAACCCGCTGGGCGGGAGGAGCTTCGAGAGCTTCTCCGAAGATTCTTGGCTGAGTGGGTGTATGGCAGCAGAGTATGTCAAGAGGCTTCAAGGCGAAGGAGTGAGCGCGTGCATCAAACACTTCGTGTATGTCCTCGTCCTCTCACGGCCTGTTTCCTATCTTGACCATGTATTTGTAGCGGGAACGAGCAAGAACAAGAACGCAAAGGATCGGACTCGCTCATTTCCCCTCGTGCGCTAAGGGAAATCTACCTATACCCTTTCATGCTCGCGCAAAAACGCGCCCAACCGTGGAGCTACATGACCGCCTACAATCGGATCAACGGCACGCACTGTTCGGAGCATCCATGGTTGTTAACGAATGTGTTGAGGGAAGAGTGGGGGTTCGATGGATGTGTAATGAGCGATTGGTGCGTTCTCCGTTCGCCTGTCTCTCTGTCCCTGGACTCCTAGAGACAGGTGCAGTGATGTAGCCATACTGACACATCAGCAGGCATGGTACATACGGCGTGCCTGAAGCATATCATGCTGGTCTGGACCTCGAGATGCCCGGCACCGATGGCTGGCGCACAGCGTCCAAAGTGATCCGCTCGATCGAGGCGACGAAGCTCACTCTACCCATAGTAAAGGAACGCGCCCGTGCCGTGCTGAAACTCGTGCAGCGGTGTGCGAAGGGTGCGCCCGAGATACTCGACGGTGACCAGCAAGAACGTACGCGGGATACGGATGCGGAGAAAACGCTCATGCGAAAAGTCGCCGGCAGTGCAATTGTTCTACTCAAGAATGAGGGCAACGTCCTTCCCCTCGAGAAAAGCAAGATCAAGACACTGGCTATCATAGGCCCCAGTGCCAAGGCAGCGTACTTCGCTGGTGGAGGGAGCGCGAGCTTGAAGGCGAGCTATGTGGTAACACCCTACGAAGGCATCCTTGCTGCTTTGCCCGAAGAGGTCAAGGTTGTCTACGCGGAGGGCTGTCAGGGTAGGTTCATCATGATGATAGGTATCTTTGTATCGCATGCTGAAAGGCTTGTAAAGGTCATCGTCGCGCACCCCCCTTGACTGGCCGTGAACTCATAACAGAGGATGGACGCGCTGGCCTAAATGCAACCTTCTACCATAAGCGGGACTCGGAGGGAAATTACTCTGCCGCTGTGGAGCATTTCTTGCTGGATAACACCGATACTCTCTTGAACGACAGCGATATCTTCTTCTCTGCCGACGAGTGGTATCTTGTCCTATGGGGCAAGCTGCGCGCACAGGAACGGAAAACGACATTCCGCTTTGGCCTTTCTGTCGCGGGCCGGGCCAAGCTCTTTGTTGACGACAAACTCGTGGTCGACAACTGGACATGGCAGAGGCGGGGAGATAGCTTCTTCGGAGATGGGACAGAAGAAGAGATGGGGAATTTTGAGATGCTGTCTGGGAAAGCTTATGATATTCGGCTCGAGTACAGCAACTTGACTGGTCCTGCTGAGGGGGACGAGAAAGGTGTTCCGAATCCCCATGCGGGCATGCGCCTGGGAGGATATCCTTTACTGGACGAAGAACAGGGTATCAGCGAAGCTGTCGCACTAGCTAAGGAAGCTGATGCAGTCGTGGTTGTTGTGGGCTTGAATGGGGAGTGGGAGAGTGAGGGATACGACAGGAAAACGCTCAACCTACCCAGAAGGACGAATGATCTCGTAGCTGCCGTTGCCAAGGCGAACCCGAGCGCTGTGGTCGTCACCCAATCAGTACGCTTCTCTCAACAGTGAGTGGGCTTTCTCGACGACTTTTTTAGGGCTCTGCCTTCACGATGCCGTGGGTGGACTCGGTCAATGCGCTCCTCCACACTTGGTATCTTGGCAACGAGACTGGAAACGCAATTGCCGATGTGCTGTTTGGCAAGGTGAACCCGTCTGGGAAGATGTCCCTCACGTTCCCCAAACGCATCGAAGATGTGCCGTCCTATCTTAACTACGGGAACCAGAATGGAAGGGTTAAGTATGCAGAGGATTTGTTCGTTGGCTACAAGCACTATCATGCCAGACGGATCGAGCCGCTCTTCCCATTCGGGTATGATTCATGTGCTTCACTGTTTATTCGCACTAAGTCTGACTAGATTTGGCTTGTCGTATACTGCATTCAAGTATTCCGGCCTGCAGATCTCACCGCCTTCGAGCTGTGACGCGAGCTTCACCGCGTCGGTCACGCTTACAGTGACGAACACTGGCAAGCTCCCTGGGTCAGAAGTCGTTCAGCTCTATATAGCTATGCCATCCGGTAACCTCATTCATCCCCACTTGGCACTGAAAGGATTCACCAAATTGCATGACATCCCCGTCGGGAAAGAAGCTACCGCGACGCTAATGCTCGACAAATACGCTGTGTCTTATTTTGATGATGTCGCAGGCAAATGGAAAGTGGACGCTGGTCAGTATACTGTATTTGTTGGCTCGTCCTCTTCCCATCTCCCTTTAACTGCTGTCCTCCCTCTTAAGAAATTATTTACTTGGTCTGGTCTGTAACCAGTCTGTACGTTATCGCGAAGATACCTATTGGACTTCGTCGTGCTGAGAGAGGCTGCTTGAATTTAACTGTTCGCATGCACTGTCCGAGGCTCAAAAGGGCACCTCACATACCAACAGCCGTCCACCATGCTGGGCTTCTGCACAAACAAGCACATACATACGTCACCCGACATTGTTGGCAGTGAGGAAGGGTGAAAGCATACGGTTGCTTGCTGACGAGGCAAGCGTAGCGAAAAGAATTCGCTTAGATCGGACCTTCGAGAACCGTGTTGGCAATACTGTTTACCGACCTTCAAGACCTCTCTGCCTAATCACTAGTCCGATATGAACAACCCCTCGTAGCAAGGCAATAAGGGCAGGCGAGCCTTCGTTTTGACACGATAATCGCTATACCCTGGAGATTGTGAACCAGTGGAGTACTAATTGTGTTCGGTCTGTCCAAGATGTTCTCACTTCTCACAGAAGTCCAGAATATTTTCGAAGCCGCCGGCCGCCGGGCTGTGATAAGCATGCGGCAGTTCGCTGTCAAGATTCCGATGACTTCATCAAGGGGCGGTCCGAAACCATGTAATGTCGATCAATCAATTTCCCCATTATCGTCATGGCCCCGGCGGCTGCAACTGAGTGGGCAATTGGTCTAAACCAAACTCAGGGGGCTCCGCGGTAAATTGCATACCATGCCACAGCAACTTACAACTCCGAAGATAGTTTCCGCAGTGCGCTGTTCGAAACACGTCCCTTGAATTTACAGAGGAGATTCGTCCATGTCTCTTCCCAGTCGACGGACCATGGGGGATTCGCTCCTCAGTTTCAAAGGAGGTCAGTGTGCGCAATGTGGTATGCGACCCCGGAAACCGGGCGCGCTTCGTGCTGCCTCATTTATATTCTTTGGACTTGCATTATAAGCTAGCGCTTTTAATGCAAAACGCTGGGGCGCCCACTCGCATTTCACTAAAGCTCACCGCCTCAGAATTCGAGCACTTTCCTAACCTGGTGTTGGACTTCTTAAGGAACGGGCTAACCCTTATCCGTTGGCAAAAGACGTGTGACCCAGATTCTAGATAATTTGGCTACATTCTTCTTAAGCAAGTCAATACAGCAGCAGTGGATATGAGGCGTTTCAACTATTATACAGAGAGAAATAGATCGGCGTCTTTTGAGATCTTTCTGCTCGAATGCGGGGGAAAACCGCAGTGGGGGCTGTAATCTCGTTCGGAGATTCGATTGTAAAGGGCATATGGGATCAGGGCAGAACACGCGGTGCTGAATACCAGAACGAAAACCAGAACCAGAAGAAGGCAGGAGAGACCCGGAATACCAAAGCAAAAGGTATCAACGATGAAGATCATCATAGCAGGCACTGTTCAGATGGTTATCCTCCACTCATTCGTTCTTGATCGCAACACCTGGTCCCCAAGCCCGATGGTCGTCATGATATTGTGATCTGCCAGCCAAAGTGTCGACGTAACATCCTCGGCTGGCGTCATAAATGGCGCTGTTGCCTGTGGGTATTCCTTGTGTACCGCCGTATGTTACTCCATTGGTCATGGGTGGAGGCATTTGGACGCCCAGTCCGGTTGCGTCCGCCGTGCACCATGGATGTACTGGAACGGACGGAAGCCGGGCACGTTGGACATTGTGAGTGCTCCTGATGGGAGGCAGAGACAGATTCTCCCGTGAGGATGACTGAAACATGTGGAAGTTACTGTTCGGCGATGCCGATGTGGGGCCAAGTTGGGGTTGAGAAGCCGGGTGCGTGTAGGCGGCTGCATGAGGAGGGTATTGATACTGCGGCATAACCACAGGTGAGTAATGGGGAGCGACTGCATGCGGCGAATGTGGGACACCGTATTGAGCTGGAGGAGTAAGCGGCGAGTTGCCAGTCAATGACGACGTCCCAGACCAAGGGCTATGTGCTGTATATCGCATGTCGTATGGCGACTGAGGGCTAGTGCTGACACTAGGCGAGATAGAAACATCACTTTCAGTCTCCGCGATACTGCCATTTAAACCACGGAGGGAAACGCCGCCCCCCATTTGAGTTCCATTGATGCTCCCCGTGTGCAGCCGTGCAAGTGCATCATCAGCGGGATCGAGCGAGACCGCCGCGCTTTTCCGTCGAGTAAGTCCCTTGGCGGTTACGAATGTACCAGCCTGCGGCTGGATCTTTGAGAGCGGGCCATCCTCTTCCACAAGAGGTAGCTGAGTATGGTTTGGGCGTTGGAAATAGCACGTAAGATGCCATTTTGCGGGTTTCTGTCCTGGAGGTACAGCATCGGGACTGAGCAAAGCAGAATATGTTTGCTTGGTCAAGCCGTCAGGCTTATTTGGGCGGTTTTGGCGACGGGCGCGTGATGCAGCGTCACCTCTGCCGATGTGTAAATTCCATGGGGTGGTGATACGTGTGACAGGCATACTTTTTGTCTCCCGACAGCTTCTCGGACTCCTCTTTCGGCACTTCGGCTTTCTCCTCATACAGGAGAAACGGTTCATGCATGCGGGATTGGGACCACTTGCATCCGTCTGTCCATCGCTCGATCCCCCCACGGTCGACACCACCGCGGTAATCCGATTCTTCCCAAACGAAGACTGCACCGTGCCGAATTAGTTCAAGACGTTCCTTGGTACTCAGGCGGCGGGAAATGAGGGGAAGTTGTCTAGGGAGTTCAAACTGGTGAGAAACCCCTACAATGACTAAGAAATATTGGAAAAGACTAACCCAAGGCGGACTGCCTCCATGACAATATGTGCTTCATGAGCATTCCGTATCTCTATAGCCGACATTGAGTCTATGTGCATCAAAACATGGGATGTATGACGAACGTAGACACGTATGAGTCGGCTTTTGCATGTGCATCCTCTGTGACGGATGGGACGGCAGACAGAGAGGTAAAAGGTCAACTTGAGAAGAATAGACAATAGACGATATGACCCGTCCCTTAAAAGTCTAGCAAAGGATTGATTAATATAGAGTGAGCATCCGAGGGTTGTCGATGGTCGCGGTCGATGTGGGAATAGGAGCGAGTCAAACGGGAGAGGAAGAACCCCCGAACTGGCCAAGATCTGGTTAGGCGATCGAGGTTAAATGCACAGAGCTGTCCTGCATTTATACGAGCCCCAGCGCATGAAGAGAAGAAGTGAGATACGATTCGGTGCCCTGCCTTGTGCCGGGGGTTCGATGGGGATACTGGCCAGCGCCTCGGGGCTTGCCTGTGGTTGAGGGCGGACTTGGACCCCCATTTGCTTCCTCTGTCTCGTAAACCCGCTGACTGTGATGTGGTTTTCAGCGCCCAAAAATGACGCGTGCGGGGAGGGGCCACAAGAGAGGGGAGGGCCGATAGCGGACGGCGTGAGATTGTGGGTCAGGGTGGAACACAAAAGGGGCACAAAGCCCCATGCGGCCGTGCCTTGAATTTCCGAACCCGGCGGTAGCGCGTGTCGATGGGAAAGAAGGGAAACCCTTCCCTGTCTTCCATTCCCATCATTCCGTTCGCGCAGCTGATCCGAGATGGCTGACCAGTCTGACCCAATATGATGAGACCTGTGCTCAGAGCTGGAATGCACCGCAGCAGGTTGATTTGGCCCCTCCTGGATCCGCATCGACTGAGAACGACACCTGTGCACACCGAGAAACAGTAGGAGGCCACATCTAGAACCAGAGGGAAAAAAGGAAAACAAGAGGATGAAGAGCCAATCAGAGAGAGGTCGACAGAGGGACGACCCTAAGCAAGAGTTTTCCCAAGCAGGCTTCGAACCTGGCCAGAAATGGTGGGACCCCGGACACTCCCCTTGTGACATCTCCTTCCGCCCCTCACTTTCCCATCGTTCCCCCTTCTCCTTTTTACTCCATCGCCCTTCTACCTCGGCCCTTCTGACCGGCCATCAGGGTGAATACCTTGGAGACCGCCCCCATCTGGCTCCTCCTTTCCATCTTGGGCCTTTTTGTTGACATCAACAGCCCCGCCCTTGCTTCGTTCATTCAGTCTTATCATCGCCGTGGCCATGCCTCATTTCTATGGGAGCTGGTGGATCATCCGATGTGCGAGCTGCATTTCCGCAATCGAGATATCAAACGCCCAACTCGTCCGCTTTTCTCGGCCGTGCAAAGTGCCACTGTCCACGTCGACCACTCCTACATCTTCTAGAATATTCGTTTTGGCCACGCATTGGGTCTTACTCCGCTCTCGGAAAGTCAAGCATAGCGCGCTGAGTTTCAACTGCGGGCAAGATAACGCGAAGTTGATATATCTGGCATCCGCTCCCATCACGAAAAAAAACGGATTCGGCGGCACACCACGAGCTGGAAACACGCGAATCCCTATCAATGTAGGTCACCCCCCGCGTGGAATTTTGGCTTTCCCACTTTCCCGGGATGCGTCATCTCACCATGATCAAGAGCATCACTTTCTGAATAAACATCCTGTGGAGCCTATTGTCTATTACCCCGCATAGAAGGAATGCTTGCTGATGAATATATACCAACGGGCCTGTTCGTAATCTCAAAGCGTGGTCGGTCAGTGAAATCCCGCACCTCTGGCACCCACCTGACGGGTCCACTGAGGCTTCCACCGGAACCAGTCTGTCACGCCCAACGAGGCCTTGTCAGGGAACACATGTGCATGAGAGATTGCAACATTCCAGCTCGCTTGTTTTGGCAATCAATCCATTTGTTTCCATCTGCTCCTGATCATCAGCTCATGGGGCATGCCCTACATCTGCATCATGTCTGAACATTCCAATTGTAACTATATCTCAACTGGTCGGTTCCTTCTTAAAACATTGCTGTTCTTCGGAAATTTCTTCAAGTTCAAATTACAGGTGCATGATCATGTCTATTATCATGATCATGTCTATTGTTTTGACTTCTGACCCCTTGGTGTGGTGATCTGACCCAAGAGGTGTCTGATATATTGGTCCAATGGGTGGTGTGCAAGAACTCACTAGGAAAAGAAGGGAGAGATGGGGAAAGTTGGTAGAAATGCAGGAGTCAGCCTGTAGCTGAGCTATCAGAAATTGATTGGTAAATCAGAGGTCAGAATCTGGTCCAGTCAAGTCACACTAAGTCAAATCAAGTACACTAAGTCAAGTCAATGCTGCCTATCCAGTATGGGGATAATTGGATCTGTATAATGCTAATGGAAAAGGGGCAGAATAAGCTAAGTACAGGAGTTTCTGGAAACTACTTATACTAGCTACTATAAACTGAACTCAATACTAAACTGGTCTCTGGATACCTCTCAAGGCAGGCATTGGCATGCCAAATATCCAGGTGGGTCAATCCCGTTGTGGAGAAAACCTGCAGTCATCATGCTGAATATCTGGGTGGTCTCATTGCCTGGGGAATCCTAGTAGTCACCATGCCAAATATCTGCAGGGGTCAAGACTTGTTGCTGGGGTGTGTTGTCCTGTGTAGTGACAGTCTGTAGTGCTGCACAATGGTCTCTAAGGCCCAAAAATAGCCATGGGAATACCAGCCTGACACATTCCACCAGAGGTGGGGTTGTTCAGTGGTTCACACTTACCTGGTCTGAACACATGATGAGTGTTTGCTGGCACATCACACAATGTGACATGCCCATATTCCTAGGCATTCTG